TTATTTTTTCCAAAAAAACTTCAACGCCTTGTACCAATTTAACGAGACGATTTTGGATATAGGTTAGTTGGCCTAAATCAACTTGTTCTCATCCCAGGAGTCCATAGCCGAGCCCTGTATAATGTTCACCTTCAACAATGACGTGCGTTCAAGCACTGACTCTGATATATTATATGAACACACAAATTGTACCTACGCAATGGTGTCTTGCAGAATAGAAGTTATGAGCTATCAAAAATTATATTTCTCATAAAAACTGCTGGTAACCTTATAATATTAGAACCGTGCGTGTTCTCATTAGAAATTACAAATCTTTGAACTGATTTTCTCATACAAACTCATTTGATACATTTTGGATTGAGCATGCATTGTCTGATTGAAACTAGTAAACAGATTCCGCATAAAACCTCTTGTTTTATTATTATCATCATATAACAACTGTCAATCATTGTTATTAATCCTCATAAGATCTAATAATATATATTTTGAACTTTGAAAATATTGTACTATTGAAAACTCACACAAACTTATAGAAAACATTTTATATTGGACATGAACTGTCTGATCCAAACTCGTGAATCATCATGAAAAAACTCTGCGAAAAAGCCTCTCGATATACTAGAAGTCATAACTATATATCCTCATCAACCCTCAAGAAGTCTATAACACATTATATCCTTAGCTTCAGCATTGTCTTCACAAACCTCGAAAACATACACATCTCATTCAAACTCATTAGATACCATTTAGATTAGGCATGTATTGTCCTATCTAAACTTGTGGATCATTATACAAAAATTCTGCATGAAACCTCTCAACATACCATTGAAGTCATAACTGTATATCCTTATCAACACTCATGAATTCTGGAACACATACAGCCCCAGCTTGACCCATAGGATTCGTTTCATTTCAAATCAGTATTGTCTTTTCAAACTACAAAAATCTTCAGAACATACACATCTCATACAAACTAATTAGTTACCATACAGATTAGACATGTATTGTCTTATCAAAACTCGTGAGTCCCAATAATATGGATACAGTCATAACGGTGAATCCCTATCAACTCTCATGAATCCTTAAACAAACATTTCCTCATGAGATACATATCTCATAAAAAATAATCAGATACATTTCGAATCAGACATGTATTGTCTAATCTAAAATCTTGAATCCTTATACAGCAATCCCGCATGAAACCTCTCAAAATACCATTGGAGTCATAATGGTATACCCTTATCAACACCCATCAGTTTTGATACACATCAAGCCTCAGCATGACCCATAGGATACATTCAGTTTCAAATCAGTAATGTCTTTTCAAACCCCAAAAATCCTCAGAACTAACAAATCTCATACAAACTTATTAGATACCATTCAGATTAGGCATGCATTGTCCAGAATTCTTAGACAGAAATAACGCATTAAACATCATAACATACGAATACAGTTATAACGGTAAATCCTTATCAACACTCATGAATTCTGGAACACATCTTACCTCAGCTTGACTAATAAGATACGTTTCATTATAGATCAGTAATTGCTTATAAGAAATCTCGAATACTTGAAACCACATATACCACATACAAGCTCATCAGCAACCGATAGAATCATGGCAGCAGTTCCCTATTGAATATCATAATATATCGAACACTTTTCACCCTCACAAAAACCCATGAAATACGTTAAAGATTATATCTATATTGTCTTTTAAAAACTTATGATTACTCAATAATTATTTACCGGATTCAAGCTGATAAGAAACCTATAATTTTAGAACCGTGTTTTCATATTTGAGCTCATAAACCTAGAAACTAGTTGTCTTATAAACACTCATTAGACACATTTCAGATTAGGCATTCATTGTCTAATTGAAACTCGTAAATTCTCAGTTATTCTGAGTCACATGAATGCTAATAGAAATCGCATTAAATTAGATAAGGAATTCCTTAGTGAAACTTTGAAATCCTGATATATTTTTTTCCTGACGATACCCAATAGAATTCTATTTGTAAATTCCCACACATTTCTCATATATACTAAGGCGCATGAATGTGCATAGAATACTTTTCCAATTGGAAGTGGAATATCTTATTGGTGGTCATAGGCTCCTCAAACCACTTGTGCCTGATAAAAACTCTCATACTTCATATTTGTATACGCTTATAAATCACATATACTCATGAAATATCATTAAACCTTTTAGAAAGTTCATGTGCCAGAGATAATGTACTCATACGCTACAGAACTCGGTTATATATCCTTATTAATACTCATATTTTATCTATATTTCTTCATGAGACTTCATAAGGTATTTTTGGCAGGGCTACTCTATCCCCTCTACCTCGATGCTGACGTCACACTAGTTGGTCAAAATTTCACAACATTTCATAACGATGCGTTAGTAATTGAAAGGTTATAGCTTATTAACTTTAAAAATTAGATAATAATAATAATAAACGCTTTTATTGGTAGAAGCAAGAATAAATATACAAAATAGTTACAAAAATGTGTCCAATTCTACCAAAGGGCAGAGTTAGCTTTTGTCTAATCCCTATAAGGAAACAGACAAGTGCTTTCTTCCACTCAACCTTAAATATAAATAATAATAGGAAATAACAAAAATTAAAAAAAAAGAGAGAAACAAAATACAAGACAATTCATTAAACTTATATCTAGTAAAAAATTTAGCTCTCTATATAGCTACAGCCAATATTAACACGTGATCAGGAAGTGATTTTGGACTTGTTACAACTGCAATTCACAAGTTGAAAGCAGTTTTTTCATACGACTTCTGAAACCCAGGATATTACTTTCCTTCAGAGCTTCCGGAATCCAGTTGTACAGCTTTGGAATCGAGTAAGAAAATGATGATCGATATTGACTAGTGGTGTGAATAGGTGGAGTTAGTCGAGATTTGAAACGGACATTAAAGCACACTCAATTGAGAAATTGAGACGAATTGATCCCTGAGGAACTACCCAACTTATTTCGGTAAAAAATAAATTCATCAGGATGAACCAGTACCGATTATTGATGCTGTAAGGAAATTCAATTTTAATGAATATCCGGACGTTGTACTACGGAATACTATTTATGAACTGAAACTGACTGAGTATGTCAAACTAGGATGATGCATCAATTAAATAGTGAGAAAATTACTGAGCTACCTAAAATGAGTCCGAAATAAACTAGAAATAAAGAGCGAGTAAAAATTTGTCTAGTATTATGCATACCTAATTTCCACTGGTAATTCCCTATAGGTAAAGGGCAATGCACGTTTCATTACTCATGTTTCAGTTGTGGGTCTTTTGATATTTTGAAAACTATATTGAATGTTGTGTTAAATAATTAGGTAGGTATTACATTTGAAATATACCGGGATTCAGTCAAATAATAAGAAAAGAAGAATCATAAGATTTTCTGGATGAATATAAAGCTTTGAGCCCATTTTTTAGTTTGTGATATATAAATATATATATATACAGGCTGATTTCAAAATGAGTGCATATATTCAAGACATATATATGACAGAGTCTAACGAAAATTACTGAAATATTTGATTTTTCCTTAGTCTTCACATTAACGAGAAATTTCATTTTGAAAATTGAACATAAAATGCTTCGAAATTTGAGTACGCCACTGGGAAGCAAGTGAAATCTGCGGAATCCCAGGAAATCCCCAATTCGTCATTCACTAACGTCAAAACAAGACAGTGATGCCAGATTGTTTCAGAGACGAATATCCTAATGAAAATTTGTCACAGAATGAATATGAATTGGAATAGGTTATGGAAACTAATAGAGGTGAATGTAATATGAACAAGAGCCTTATTTTTTAAAGTTTACTGAGAGAACTGTGGGGTGATTATCTACATGGATCACGAGAGACGGAGAGAAACATGAGGGGAATGATAGAACGTCCCCCTTCCTTCAATTCGAAAATAAGGCCCCAGCGGGTAGATACAAAATTAGCAGACAATAAATAGGTACACAACATACACAAAGTTGAAAATCGACTCACCTAGTAGATTTTCTCATACCTGCTCGAACTCCCGAGAGCAAACAAATACTAATATCGAGTCCATTCCAGACTAATATCGTCCTGTGTTCTTGTTGGTTCATATTCGCTCTTAAACCATCGAAAACGACTCGACGACGACATATCCTTCCTGGCAATCTCACATTGAAAATCAGGATCACGACCATATCACGATTATCACGACACAAGACACAACATCCAATTATTTTATTTTTCATTTTACGTTTACAATTATTTTACAAACCAGCAACCATACAAACAAAACTATTATCATATGATCTGTCAACATCATTTCTCAGAACAGTAGTATCTGTGACCATAGATTTCCTCTTTGCTGTTCAGAAAATAAACAATCCGAAACCGTCAGAAGCATGCACAAGTCCACAGAACTCAAAAAAATCATACAGTTCTGTGAAACTGCGCATGCTTCTGACCGTTTCGGACGCAAGAATTCAGATGACCATGAATTACTAATAGGTGATTTCAAAGGATCAATCAGAAACAGCAAAGTAGCGCCTGCGTGGTTGCGATTCATCCTGATTGGACACAGCTGATTGGATTTGTGAGAATAGTGTATAGTGAGGAAGTATCATTTCATTGAATTAAACTAATAGATGTTTTTTCCAAATTAGTTTTTTATGAAAATGGTAGTTTCATTTGAAGATATGATCCTTCCTCACTAATACATTAATCTCAATCACCTGTGCCCAATCAAGATGAATCGCAACCACGCAGGCACTACTTTGCTGTTTCTGATTGGTCCGTAAAAGTCGCCTATTAGTAATTCATGGTCATCTGAATTCTTGCTGGTAGCACACCATAAGAAAAATCGAAACAAAGATCCTTTCTTGACAGTTTGTCGTTCTGAGAATGTATGTTATTTTGGAAAACGTCAAAACGTGATACTAGTAAATGTAAAGTTTTGTTTCCGACAATTTGCTTGGAATGTGACGATGCATTTCTCGAACATTGAGCTGAATGATATGGTTCGTATGTCGGGTCGTTATTGTGCGGGGCCCATGAGACTCTTCGAAGGACACGAAATTGTAGCGATGCAAGGAGGTGGAAGGAAGAGTCTAAAGGGTTTCTCAGTAAAAGAACTTCCAACCGTGAGGTGTTAAGTTATATGCTATTCGAGCTTATGTGTAGAAATCTTGGGTGAGTCCATTTTAAAGTTTTTGTATCATCTTTCTGAAATTCAAGACCAGGGTTAACTTCTTCCCCATGTACATTTTCTCGATTATACATTTTATTTAATATCTCCTAATATTCTTGTAGAGTGGCAACGTCGCTTCGTTCATCACGGTCGACTGCGGATCGCAAACGATAGTTGTGACAGAAGTAGAAAACTGGGCGGAAAAAGGGTATTTTGCCCCAAATCTATTTTGATCCTAATAATATTTTCAATAGTGCTATTCGGTAGTATACCTCAAGCTTTCTTAGTTTTTAAAATATATGTATACTTATTTTGAAATCAGCCTGTATATATATAGGGAGAGGGTAGTCTCCTGACTGGACTAGTTGAAGAAAACTATGTGTTAGGAAAACAGCTAAAATCTCTATTTTCCTCGAGGTTGTAGTCAAAGGGAATGGCCAATGTAGAGAAAAAACTCTTTGTTAAATTGTCGAGCTTTCGAAAAATTTTATTTTTAATATCAAGACATCTGAAAATACAAAGACCCATTATAAGCATGGTATCTTGTATGAAAATTGAAAAAACTTACTAACTTGAGTGGTTACATGGAAAACAGCTAATGCACATCATAATACATCAGCGAATCTGAAGTTATTGAAGAAAGTTAAATTATAAATAATAGCATTGGCTTTCTTTTTCAGGGCTGAAAAAAATGAATCAGAACGATTCAGGACGTGAGGGGAGCTCCTACCAAATAAAACTTTTGGCACTTATCGCTTTAGAAGGCCTCAATCATGATGGAAACTGGAAAGAATTCACTGAGTATTATGACGCTGGAGATTTTAATGACATCGTTTACATGAGTGAAAATAAAAATAGCAGCTTTGCAATACAATGCAAACATAGGAGAGATAAGAAGAAAACCAAAATTTCCAAGAATGATTTAGAGAAGAAGGGTGATTTCTATCTCCCAAAGTATTTCGAATCATTTCAAGAGATGAAGGATAAATGGAAGAAGTTCGATGGGATGATCTTTGTAATTTGTTCAAATTGTTGTCCAGATACCAAAACTGTATCGGAAACAGAAGAAAAAATATCCATTCCGTTATTTCCAGGTAAAACATCTTCATACAAACTGAAAGATTCAGTGATAAAGGAAATTCTGAATTCATATGACGAAAAATTGGTAACGAATTTTTGTGAAAAGCTACGATTTTTTCACATCACTGATTCACAAATTGACGAGAGTATAAAAGGAAGTCTTACAGATGCAGAAGGAAATTTGAAATTGAAATTTGATGAAAATCATTTCATCAGAAACATAGATAATTGGTATATAGGGAAAAATAGAACAACTATTGTGAAATCGCATGTAATAGCATTTTTATACGAGTGGACGAGTCACAAAAAATTGACTGAGCTTGAATCTCTCGGAATATACTTCAAAGAAAAATATATCATTGGAAATAATCAAATATTAAACATCATAACAGCTGAAGAGAGTATCTTGACTATACTCAAGGCCTATAGAAGTTTTCTAGAAGACTATGACACAAACCAAATTTTATTCATTGATCCTGAAGATAAGATCGAGATTATGGACAGAATCATAGAATGTTATGAGCTGCCTAGATTCTGTATACTCTTGATTTCTTCATCCGGATTCGGTGAAAACAGTGAGACATGTTATAATCACATTAATAATATTTTAGAAAAATTTTCATACAAAAAAGTCATCATTTTTTCTAAGGAATCAATTCAGACACATTTAAGTAACAGAAATATTGCAACAATCTTCGATAAAATAAATTTCGATCATTTAACAGAAACATCTCAGAAAACTCTGCTTTCCAAATCTGTTTGTTTTCAAGGTACCGACATTCCCTTATATAAACTAATTTATCGAGGTACCAATTTGTCGATCGACGAGCTCATGAATGATAGATCGAACTTAAGTTATTTAATGGACCAAAAAACCATTGTCGAATTGATATTCGAACGAAAGATTGAAATAGGAACAGCAATAAATGAAAATTCAGAAGACATTCCAGTTTATTACAGGGAAAGAAGGATAACCAACTACGTGGGTGAAGATTTCGAAGAACAAGATGTCAGAGATTTTGTTGAGCAATCTGACAAGATTTTCCTAATATCAAATGAAGCAGGAATGGGAAAGACTACTTATTTGAAGAAACTGGGGTGTTTGATAAAGGAGAAATACCCACACTTATTCGTTTTAAGAATAGATTTGAATCAATTCACCGGTCTATTCAAAACATACAAAAATAAAGGCATTGAACTAGAAGAAATTTTGGGAATCTTCAATCAAAATCTATTGAAAAATAGTTTCGAAAAAAGTATTTTTTCAATGAATGATGAAATCGTATTATTAGTGGACGCAGTAGATGAAATAAGTCCAACATACACAAAACTGGTGAAGAATTTCCTCCTGAGCAGTTCTAAACGTCAAAACATTTCAAAAATCTTCGTCACCACTCGTCCGCATCTGAAAACAGATTTGGAATCATTTCTAAATACCAAATCGTATCAGCTATGTCCATATCGGTTCATAGAACAAGTTGTGTTCCTCGGGGAGTACTGGAAGAATAATCTGAACATAAATGATGTTGATGATGAAAACAAATGTAATATGTACGCACAAAAATTGATAAGTAAAATAATTAAAGCGATTGGGACGACTGATGCATGGAAATTCACTGGCATCCCACTCCACATCAAAATGATTGGAGAAATATTCCAGGAGTCGGATAGGAAGCAGAATAATTGGATAAGCTGTGAAGATTTTTTGATATCTGGATATGATAATCCGGAGTTGCCAAACATGCTAACCCTCAATGACTTGTACGACATGTTTGTGCAAAAGAAAAGCAAAATTTTTATCGACGAAAAATGCCTGGCTAAAGGAAATACCGCCACAGAACTATTGTTCGAGTCTCAATTTGAAAATGCTCTCATAAAACATCAGAAAGAAGCGGCTAAGCTCCTCTTCAAAGACAGTCATTTCGAATTGATGAATATCTCCAAAATCGTTGAAAACATTCCTATAGAAACCATTGTGAAAATGGGAATAATTCATGAACTTGGAGACGAGTTAGTATTTATTCATAAAACATTCGCTGAATATTTCGTTGCTAAGGCATTGTGGAAACAACTGATTGAATTGAAGTATTCTCAGGAATTCTTAGTTTTTCTACTAAGCATCGTTTTCCTAGATGAACAGTACGAAGGGATTAGGAACTTTTTCGAAGGAATCCTCACAGAGGAATTTGATGAAATTCCAGAAGAAATTCTCTGTATTTGCGACTCTATTGTCGATTCCATAACTTGGGATGAAAAAACCAATATACACATATTAGCTAGAGAGGGTCGATTGAATATTTTGAAAATAATGCTAGAAAAAAGTGAGAATAGAAAACAGTTATTGGGAATCGTGGATTATTCAAGTAGGTTCACTATTCTCATGGAGGCGATAGAATATCCAGAGATAATAACACTTTTACTGGACAAAGGGGCAGATGTTAACCAAAGAGATGAATGGGCGCGTACAATCATTCATAATGCGGGTATACGTAGGAAGTTGGAGGTACTAAAATTGTGTGTGGATAGGGGGGCAGATATAAATCAAATTGATATATACGGATGTTCAGTAGCTTCATACGCAGCTAGAGAAAACCACGTGGAATTGGTTAAATTTTGTATGGAAAATGGGGCAGATATGAACCAAAAAGACATGTACGGACGTGATGCTATAGAACTAGCAGCAGAAAGAGGCAATGTGGAATTGGTGGAATTATCTGTTGATCGAGGGTTTGCTATAAACCCAAAAGTCATATATCATGCAGCTTCATTGGGGAAATTAGAATTGATGCAATTATGTATGCAAACATCGAAAGTAGATATGAACCAACGTGACGAGAGTGGAACTACAATTATATTTCGAGCAGCTCGAGGTGGTGGAGAAAAATTAGTGAAATTTTGTTTGGAAAATGGGGCAGATATCAACAAAAGTAACACGGATGGAAGTACAGTTTTATTAAATGCGGCTGAGAGAGGCGATTTAGGATTGATGAAATTCCTTCTAGAGAATGGGGCAGATTTAAACCACAGCGATCATAGAGGAAGAACAGTCACACACTATGCAGCTGCCACAGGACATCTGGAGATGTTGAAATTTTGTGTAGGAAGAGGAAAAGATATAAATCAAGAGGACAGGAACGGAAAAACAACCATATTGTATGCAGCTGGAAGTGAAAAATTAGAGGTGATGCAATTTTGTATTGAAAAAGGAGCAGATATTCACCATTGTGAAAATAAAAGGAGAAGTTTGATACATTTTGCAGCCGCATCAGGCAATTTGATGATGATGAAATTTTGTCTGGAAATAGGGGCAAACATCAATCAAAGGGACAATGATGGAAAAACGGCGATAATATATGCAGTTCAAGGAGGCAATAATGAACTATTGGAATTTTGTTTGGAAATGGGAGCAGATATAAATCAAGCAGATAATGTAGGACGATCAGTATTATTTTATGCAGCTGAATTATTTGATGAATTGGAATTTGTGAAATACTGCGTAGAAAAAGGAGCCGATATAGATCACTGCGATAATAAAGGAGTGAAAGTAATACATTTAGCAGCTTCATTAGGCAAATTGAATCTTCTGCTATTTTGTTTGCAGGAAGGGTCAGATATCAATGAAAGTGATAATGATGGTGTTACAGTCATATTATATGCAGCTGAAAATGGCCATAATGAAATATCAAAATTTTGTTTGGAAAATGGAGCAGATATACATATCAATGAGAAGGGAAACTCAGTTATATTATATACAGCTAGAAGTGGCGAATTAGAATTGGTGAAAATGTGTGTCAGTAGGGGAGCAGGAATAGACCAAAAAGATAATAAAGGTGGGACAGTCATACATTACGCAGCTTTATCTGGGCAATTAGAATTGATGGAATATTGTGTGCTAAAGGGAGCAGATATCAATGTATGTGATGATGATGGTAGAAGAGTCATACATTATGCAGCTTCAATGGGCCAATTAGAATTGATAAAATTCTGTGTAGCAAAAGGAGTAGATATAAATGAAAGGGATAATGATGGAAGAACAGTTATACACTATGCAGCTTTATTGGGCAAATCAGAATTATCGGAATTTTCTATGAAAGTAGGAGGAAATCTATATCTAGGCAATTTTTCCGAAACGAATAAATTGAATTTCGTGATATATTGTGCGGAGAAAATGGTGAATATGAACCAAGGTGATAATAATGGAGAAACCGTTTTACATTATGCAGCCAAATCGGGGCAGTTGAATTTATTGAGACTTTGTGTAGAAAAAGGTGCAGATATAAATCAAGGTTGTAATCACGGAAGAACTGTTTTACATATTGCAGCTTCACTGGGCCATCTGGATTTGATGGAATTATGTCTGGAATGCGGAGGAGACATCGATCAAATTGATAATTACGGATGCCCAGCCATTCTTTATGCAGCTGAAAGTGGCAAATATGAATCTGTCAAATTTTGTTTAGATAGGAGAGCCACTCTATATCCAGAGATGGTGACGAAAATTCAGTCTTACATTTGGCAGATTTATCGAGCGAATTACAATTGGTGAATTCATATATGTGAATAGGGAGGGAGTTGATTCAGGAAGCCTTTTTCTTGTCGCGTCCTTCTTCTTAATTTCTTTGGAGCGCACGAAAGGATATCCCTATAATGTTCAAAGAATCTCCCAACCTATTTTCATTAGGAATATCAATTCTAGTAGAAATTTCACACGATTTACGACTCATCAAACACCATAGCGTCTGTATTTCAAGACCCATGGTGGAGTTGCAATCTATAAACTTGATGACTCTCGAGGAGTCTCAAGGAGAGAATAATTTGCATTGCTATTTATCCGCCTCCTGATGGAGACTTTCATAATTTTTTGAGACTACTAAGTGATATTTTGAGTAAAATATGTTCACCAAAGATGAAATTATTGGAGGTGACTTCAACATCAACTTTATTTCTCACACAACGTATTGTATATTACTCGAAGATTTATTTTCATGTTCCGATGTCAATATGACAAGGAGAATCCCGACAAGAGTTGAAGGGAACTCAGTATCATGTAAATCATCGAGTCAGTGATATCTTTTATCATTCTCTTATCTTTCTGTCTTTGTCGATTACTAACCCATTCTTTCTATCGCTTTCTCATCTTCAATATAATATTCTGCTGCTTGGAATTCGAATATATCAATTGACAATCAAGTCTCCTATGGTGGTTTCCACCTAAGATATTTAGATATTGCCATTTTTATTTTTTTGCTGAATATACTTGTTATAGTTTCTCGCATTATCAGTTCCAGAATAGGTTTGTCGAAAAATTTTGATGATAATTCAAGTGGGCCGACAGATTTTTCATTCGTTCTTCATTATCAATAGAATTTCAGAGATGGCAGATCTTATTCTATCCAATATTTTATTATAATTTTTTTTTCATTTACTTTTTCGGGTTCCTTTTTCCATTACTTCACGATTTTTTTTATCTTAAATAATGCCACATCACCCTCTGAAGCTGAACTTGCAACAACACCAACCTGACCTTCATTGTGACAAGAATCCAACTCCAGAACTCAATTGGAACGCGATGTTCAGATCCTGGCATCCTGGCATCTTTTTTATTGAAAAGTGTTCTCGTTCGAATCGTCATCTGACAACTAAGTAGTTGCGTTGATTGGAGGAAAAATTGTTATATCCCAAATTGCATCCAGCTTTTCTCCATCAGATTCTTTCAATATAGCGATTGCTCCATAGAAGGAAAAACATCTATCGAATGAGAAAAGGTCATATAGCTGCATAATGTCCTATATGTAGGACGGCAACAATAAACCCGAGATATAGAAATCGAATATCATGAATGCCTAAAATGTGCTGATTATTGAGATCACAAATTGGATTTGAACATAACAATAAAAATGGAAATATAACTCACCAAGAAAAGCGTTCATTATTATCATCAATTTGATAAAATAACCCTACTTCAAACTGTTGTTGAGCACGAATCAAGCAAGTCTGTGAATAATTTTGACATGGCGCTAGTATTGAAAACAATTGAGCTAGCTAGGTGTTCTACATATAGGACATTAGGCATATCTGGGATAATCAAGACTGTGAAATCCTAAAGTGTAGCAGTAGTGAACATGCATGTCTCAGACCACTACCCTCAATGTTTTGACCTGTTTTTTTATGAGGTGCCAGAGAACATGACGTTCCAACATTTCATTATGAGCGAAACTTTTCAGATGAGAACATCAGTGTGTTCAAAAATTCTTTACGGAATGAAATGAGATCTATATTCAGTCTTGTCCCAACTCACCCTACCAAGCATTTGCAGATATCGTGTTACACTTATTCGAGATCTCATTTCCGAATTGGAAGGCACACCAAAGAGGTGATGAAAAAAAACAAGTAAATAAATATATTATTTATAACACCTGCTCTAGTTCACCTCGGGAACAATGTCTCTCTTCATAATGAGCTAGCCAAAAATGATCCTTGTATCAAATTGAGTAGTTTTTTCAATCGAAAATATCAGCAGGGTCTACAGGTATAGTATCCAAGTCTTACAACGACAATTTGATTTCAACATCTGATGATAAGTGGAAAACAACTCGAAATATTATGAATAATTTGCAAGAGAACTCTTCAGTAAATGCTGAAAAACAAGTGATAACAAAGAATAGCACAACTTCGAATGATAGAGATCCAATGAATTCAATAAAAGTTCCATAAAACCATTGATGAACAACAGCAATTATGATTGGCAATTCATACAAGTTACAATTTGATTCCACCTTCATTCAGCGATATCTGAAGCCACCGCCTTTACGGATTCCGAGAGTTCTCATGACAACGGTGCCGAGTTGCTGACTTTGCAAATTCACTTGAATATTATTTCACATATTATAGTTAGTCTGACTTTAGAATTCTTACTGTTCACTTGGTACATAATTTTGATTTTTGTTAAGTTCTTTTCCGAAATGAATCTTATTGGAAATAAGATTTCACGGATTCGAACTCCAACTGGCGCAGTCGGTAGGATCGCGAAAGAGTCTTCTTGAATAGATCCTCGTCGTTTTGAAACGTTTGTTCGCGATACCATAAACGTCGTCCCTGGAAGGAAGCATCGTCGCTAACCACCAAGGATCACCACCGGAAGGACATCACAGCAGAAGAAAGAATGGTTTTGATCATCATCACTATCTTACAGTGAGTACCTACTTTTTCATGTCAGACTCCCCTTCATCCAATCACCATATAGTACCAGTGTAAATTCAGATTTGAGTTACTTATTTCGTGAAATATTAACAATATCCGAAAATAATACTATTGCTCCACCATCACCATTCGACGTTAAGAACCTGTGCATTCTACTAGAATATGCTGGAAGCCCAAACGCACTCTACGATTTCATCAGAGTGGCGTCTACACTATCGAATCATTATTACGATCAAACTAACCAGACTTTCCTACAAAATGTTCTACTTCTGCAAGGAATAATTAACAAATTGACAGGCAGAGCGGAGGAAATTGTATCAATATATGGTTCTGACGATTGGCCTTCAATCAAAAACACATTAATTCAAAATTTTGGCGATCAACGAGACGAAAATTCATCGACAAGAGATTTGGTCAACATGAGACAGCAGAACGAATCACCTCTTCAGTTTTTCGAACGATGCATAGGACTTTTGAACACCATTTCAAATTACTTAGATATTCATAATGATAATGATCTCGTAAAGTAGAGCAAGAAGGCATTTTTTCAACAACAAACCCTCACTACGTTCTTAGCAGGTCTCAGAGACCCGTTAGGCTCAACAATCAGAGCCATGAGGCCGAACAATTTGGCGATCGCAATGCAGTACATACAAGAAGAAAATAATATACGTTATTCGAGTAGACGTGAATTGGCAGATCGCCAAAGCAATGGAGAAACCAACCTCTTTATGAAATACATAAATGGATACCCCTCAATCGTGAAAAAAAACTAATGAGTACATCCAATAGGTCAGCGAAGAATATAAATGCAGATAAACTTTCACTTTGTTATCAAAATTGCAGAGGACTGAACACGAAGACTCATATATTTTTTCGAAATTTATTAGCAAATGAGCACAGTATTGTCGCCATAACGGAAAGTTTGTTGCACGTGGATTTATATAGCAGTGAACTTTTTCCACCGAATTATGCAGTTTATCGTAAGGATCGGAGTACACGAGGTCGAGGTGGTGGGGTGATATTAGCAGTCGATAATACTCAGTGCAGCTCAGAGCCCTTTGAAATATCATGCCGGATAAATAAAATAGATGTTGTGGGAATAAAAGTACGGGGAAATAATCATAAAACAGTTAGCATCGTACTAGTCAAAATACCACCAAATTCATCTTATGGTGAATATGATGAATTTCCCGAATGCTTGGAAAATATTCAGAGTGATATTATTTTAGGAGATTTCAATATTCCCTAGTTGCACAATTTTTATGATACGAAACTCCAAACCAATCATACTCTCCGCTTTAACAACTTCCTGGCCTACTGTGATATGACTCAGAACGATACAGTGAAAAATCACAACCACAGACTACTGGATTTGGTTATTTTCAATAGTGACTCTGTTTGTGAAGTGCTTTCTGATGAAGATTCTCTTGTTCCAATTGATCCCCATCATCCTGGACTCATTATACATATTCCTCCTGGACCGGGTTCAACTGGAAACTTCTTATCTACAGCTAAACGGTATGATTTCAAGAGTATTAACACAGAGAAATTTTGTCGACAACTTTATGCAGTGGACTGGGACCAGTATATGGATCACACCAGTGATGTAGATCATGCAAGTATCATTTTCAATGGAATAATTCATGATATAATTTCGAAGTGTGTGCCTGTTAGGAGATGCAGGTCTCGTAAATATCCAGTCCGGTATACAAAAGGATTGATCCGAAAATTAAAAGAAGAGAATGATTACTTGGAAATGTACAGGAAAAATAATTTACTTTTCTATCGCGAGCGGTCTAAGGGTTTGAGGCGATTAATTAAACGTGAGATAGAACAGTCTTATGAAGCATTCATCGAAATAACAGAAAAAACACTGAAGAAGAATCCTCGTGCTTTCTGGAACTACGTCAAATCAAAGAAAATGTGCCACGAATCCTGGGAAAAATGTACTATAACGACCAAACATTATATAGTCCTGATCAAATTGTGAATGCATTTGCGAACAACTTCAGAAGCGTATACGTCCCCGACAATACTTCGAAGGAAACAAGCTTGATATCTGAAGAACTTGGTTACCCTAGTCACTTGCATCTGAGAAGAATAACGGAGGATCTAGTCGTCGCAGCATCCAAAAAACTCAAGAATAAACTGACCTTGGGTCCTGATGGTGTATACCAGTAAAAGCTCTTCGCTCGACCTCTCCGCATCATTTATAATCTTATGATTGATAATGGCCATTTTCCGAATATTTGGAAATCATCTAGAGTGTGTCCGATTTTCAAATCAGGAAAAAATTTAGATATCGTAAACTACAGACATGGCCCTTATATCAGTGTTTTCGAA